GAAAATCGCAATGCGGAAATGAAAATCGCAACGAGAGAATCGCAATGCGATTTTCATTTCGCATTGCGATTCTCTCGTTGCGATTGTAATTTCCGTGTTGCGATAGTCAAATGCATGCCTAATAGTGATAACAACTGAATAACAAGAGTTGGTTAAGTCAAAATGGTTGGCCTGAGTCATTAATTCAACTGAAAATGTTAAAAGTTCACACATAAAATCCACATAATACAACGTTTGCATTTAAAATCACCTAAGTTAACAGTCCCAAAAGGTGAAGCCAATTGTTATTGGGATTTTAAAGATGGTTGCCTTTTGCTTGACACCATATGAGCTTTGGATTTTGATGAGGATCCATATTTGGTAGAGGAAAAGATGATTTTGATGGCACTGGTGATCCACATGTCAACCTTGTATGACCACTTTCCTTGCACCGACTACATGTCGATCTCTTCTTCTCTTCACCCTTAGACGGTATACGATCGTGACTTTTTGGTCGGCCAGGTAGCCTTCTGTCCATGGCTGGTGGCAAAACTGTTTGTAAGTCATCTGGTATGTCCCACTCAGAAGGATGTGGAATAGGGTAGACAATCTCAGCATAAGTCTGTCGATAAACTTCTGTAGTGTAGCAATCCATAGCGTATGCGCTTGAATCATCTTGGTTTAAATGAAGAGCAACTTTTATAACATGGCCACACGGATAACCAGATGTTTGCCATTTCATACAACTACACGTCTTTGCATTTAGATCGACTAGCCCATTTAAGTTATTATCCAGTACTTGAAACAAAGTGTTTGAACATGGTTCAACTCTCCATGACGTTGACTTCACAACACGTTTCGTTATCTTTTTTTCAGTCCATGGTGTAACACGATGTTCCAATGTTCCTGTAAATTTAAATAAACAATACTTAGTAAAATATAAATATGATAAGTTACGAATTCAAAGAATAAACCTGCATGGTTTCTTTTCTTGTAGTACAACTGTTGAATAGAGGCTCGAAAAAACTCCATTAACATAGTAATGGGTAATTTCCGGGAATGACGACTTAGAGCGTTGATTGATTCTGCACTATTAGACGTCATGAAACCATATCTTGCTCCAAGTTGATGTACTCTTGACCATCTTTCAAACCCGACATCTTCTAGTGTTTGAGCACACTGAGGCAAAACACGTCTTAAACAATTTATATGCTTATTGAAATCCACTTCCCGATAAGCTTTTACAGCCTTCCAGTATGTCCATTTGTGCTTTTTTATACCAGCAGACCTTGATTTTAGATTTCTATACAAATGAACACCACAAAGTCCATGAAAAGCATCTGGGAAACACCTTCTAACAGCGTTGTCAATTGAGTTTGCCCTATCGGATATGATTGTCAGATTGCTAATAGGACCTATGCAATCCCTAAGATGCCCCATAAACCATGTCCATGAATCAGAGGTTTCAGATTTGCCAACCCCGTAAGCTATTGGCAATATCCCATTGTTAGCATCCATGGCTACTGCTAATAAGTTACTCCAAGGTATCGACCTTTCAAATGTGCTCCGTCAACTATAATAACTGGGCGCATGCAAGTAATAAACGAACGAATCTACAAAATAATATACACAAGAAATATAATCATTTAAATGTGAAATGCATGTAACTAACAAAAATGAGTCAACAAAATTATATTGATTTACTAACCGTAGCACCAATGGCGATAAACAGCAACTCAAAGCGTCCATCTCTATCTGTTTTGATATGAGTTACCGACCCAGGATTTTCAGCTTTAAATTGTGACAATAAGCCGGCAGTTGGGCAAACGATGCTTCTGGCGACCCCCTCAACAATTCCAAGGCATAACATTTGGCTCTCCAAGCTTGAGAATATGATATACTAATCTTGAACCGAGCATTCATGTCAGTCATAATTTCATGTCCCCGATATACCCTGCCATTCAAAACATTAACTCAGCCAGAAAACCACCCAACACCTTTTTGTTTGCCTGTCTATGGTGAGGAAAAACTTGGGTTCTTGAACATGTATGTTTATCAATAAAAGTCCTAACTTGAAACATTTTGCAATCTTTTATTCTCTTTGCAATCATACGCCACGTACAGTTTTTGTCAATCATACACCTTGTTTCGAAACGATCTTTGCTTGATTTGTTAACTTTTAGTTGATAGCCATCTTCCACACATTTCGTATACAAAGCTATCTTCAAGTCTTCCTTTGTATCAAAACAATCATCTTTCTTGACACGAATAACTTTTGTGTAACAATCAACTGCTTTCTTTGCCAACTCTTCTTCCGGTAACTGAAGTAATTCTGGCATATTCCAGTTATACTCCCGTGGCATTTTCTTTTCTTCGGGGACTTTTTCTTCTTCTTTTTCTTCTTCAGGATTATATGAATTACAGAATGGATGTTCAACATGTTCATTCACAGTCGTAACTTCCTCCTCATTATCATCAACAACATCTTCCTCGGCAACGGGTGTTTCATCATCAAAATTCGGGTATTGACCAATATGAAAATCATTACACACATGGTCTGTTTCTTCTTCTGAAACATCATCAAAATCCGTGTATTGACCAATATCAAAGTCCGGATATTGACCAAGACCAAATTTCGAATACTGACTAGTACTCACAATTTTTTCTGTTGGCTCATCATCGTCTAACTGGTCAATACGAAAACCGGAATTTGGTGCTGAAAGTTGATTGGGATTTGGATTAGAGAAAGGTTGTGGGTTTTGAGAAAAACTTAGTTGATTACTACCCGCTACTGACTCAACAATACTACTTCTAGGTTCAACAACATACAATGTAACATCATCTTGTGAAACACTAATGTAAGCAATGAATCGTTCAACATCTTCATTGTCGGTTAACAAATAAACTTTACCATTTCTCTGATAAGATAGCCTAAATCCACTTAGGGGCTCTAAATTCAATTTATTTGAAACACGTAGCATTAGAGTTTCATAAGTTAACTTTTGTAAAGACAATTTTAGTTGAAGATTCATGGGTAAAGGCATATATTGTAAAACACCATGAACATTATCCCATGACCCTCCAAAACACAAATCTATCCAAACATGATCAACATTAGATGATTTCATGGTTGTAAATTAATTTACTAAACAGACGAGCTGCGAAACTAAAACCTGTTGCCGGATTGGGAAGGATGTCGTTGGATATAGGAACGGATGTCGCCGGAGAGAGTGATAGATGGAGATGGAATGAGTTGCGATTTAGGGATTTAGTTTATGATTTCAGTGTTATATACCCAAAATTTCAGTGTTGTGATTTACAGATTCTCGTTGCGATTTACGGATTATCGTTGCGATTTACAGATTCTCGTTGCGATTTACGGATTATCGTTGCGATTTACAGATTCTCGTTGCGATTTACGGATACGCGTTGCGATATACGGATACGCATTGCGATTTACCCATATGCGTTGCGATTTACGGATACGCGTTGCGATTTACGGATACGCGTTGCGATTTATGTGTTCGCGTTGCGATTTTCATATTCGCGTTGCGATTTTGGAAAATCGCAATGCGAATTTGTACTATCGCATTGCGATTTTCAAGAATCGCGTTGCGATTTTGGAAACTGATTTGCGATTCTGGGGATCGCGTTGCGATTTTTATTTCGCGTTGCGATTTTGTTGGTCATTTTGGCAAATCCAAAAAAAGTTGGTTAAAATCGTATATTATAACTTTTTTTTGGTCACTGAGGCGATTTTCTCTAATAATAAATCTAATTTTTTGGGACCCTTGTTATTCTGGGACCCTGTTCCGTCGCGCATTCTTAGGCCCGCCTCTGTTTTGAAATAAACAATTATTTCTAAAAATATTTTTATTAAATGAATGGTTTTTTAATTTTTTATAGAATATTGGTTATTTATTATTTAAAACCCCTGTTTAAATTGGTAATCAAATACCAATTCAGTTTATAGCAAAGGATGGGTGTAATTATATAATAGTGACATCAAATAATATTTCAGTTTCATATGTGATTTTCAAAGGCAAAATGGCATCTAATTATTTTGTAATATATGGCCAAATTGTTCATCATCCAAGAGCTTAACAGTCACCTAATTTGCCCTTGGAAATGACTAAAGGGATACATACATTAAGAAGATAATGTATATTAATCTTATATGACCAAACACTTTCATTTTCTTTATTTTTTTTGTCATTACCAATTTATTAGTTAAAGTTCAAATACATGATTTAATTCCCGCAAAAGCCAAAATCTCTTTAAAGATGCCACTCTCAAACTACTGATTCATGTATCAATATAGTTTTATGACCCAAATGTTAATACAAAAAGGTAATTAGTAGGAATAATATTATAAAAGAATATAATCATGAACCTTGAATATTAACTATAAAGTAAATAGTATAGAAACTATCATAATTGATCATGCTTAGGGAAGGTTAAGTCATTTGAATTTGAAAAGCAGTTGGCTAAGCTATATTTTATAACTTGATTTGCAAGTCAAAACAAATGGAGTGATGATAATTAATTAAAAAGACTGGTACTTGACAATATTTTTATGAAATACACACAATATTAGGGGGAAAATAGAGATGACAATCGTTACGAAATACATTAAAAGACGACAAAAATACAAATACAAACAGGGATTGAAAAGTCACCCTTATCCATAAATATTTTTCTTATTTACAGTTCGAGGGAACCCTCCCCCAACACAAGCGTGCACTCGTTTTCATTTGTTGTTGATGTAATTATGTATGAAAATGGAGGTATATTTTAAGCATTGCTCCTGAATGATCCAAGGGCTTTAATGGCTGCTGCTCTTAGGATGTACTGGTGGTAAAAGGCAGCAATGGCAGCTCCGATGAAGGGTCCAACCCAGAACATCCACTGCAAAATTAAACCAACACATGAACACTCTTTGTGTTTTCAGTTGAAATGGAAATTTATAGAGGAAAAGTCAATAATTTTTACTTGATCATCCCAAGCCTTTTCTTTGTTTTAAATCACAGCAGCTCCAAAGCTCCTTGCAGGGTTGATGCCGGTGCCGGTGATGGGGATTGTGGCAAGGTGAACCATGAACACGGCGAATCCGATGGGAGCGGTGCCAGCACCTTCAATATTTAGTTTTTATTAAATGGAAAGGCCAAGAAAAAGAAAAAGAAAATGAAATCAAGAGAGTACATACAGGAACATGGGAGTCCCTGGCGCTCCTCTTGGGATCGGTGGCCGAGAAGACGGTGTAGACGAGAACGAAGGTGCCGATGATTTCAGCGCCGAAGCCGGTGCCCTTGTTGAAGCCCGGTTGCAGCTCGTTGGCACCACCACCGTAGCTGTTGTAGTAAGTCTTTTGGAAAGCCTTGACCAACCCACAGCCGCAGATTGCACCCAAGCACTGAGCCACCATGTACATGATGGCTCGGATCAGCGATACCTTACGCCCCAAGAAAAGTCGAAACGTCACCGCCGGGTTGATGTGTCCCCCTGAGATACCGGCGGTGCAGTAAACGAGGATGAAGATCATGCCACCAAAAGCCCAAGCAATACCGAGAATGCCAACGCTACCGCAGTCCTGGTCAACGGTGTTCTTGGCCGGGTCGGTTTGGACTTTATGACCGATCACGGTCAGCACCGTGACATACAAGAAAAGAAGGGTGGCAATGAATTCGGCGATACACGCCCTATAAAACGACCATTTGGTGAGTTCGTCGAAGTTGATCAATGGTGCTGGCGGTGGATCGTGGTAGTCCTTGGCTGAGAACTCGCCTCCGCCTTGCTCCGCCGTCGTCTCGATATCCTTAGCCACGTGTTCCCTTTGCTAAAACTGAAAGTTGTGAGGAGAAAAGGAGAGGTTTAAGCTGTGGGTGAAGAGAGGTGAGTGGGAGAAGTGGCATGTAAGGGGAAAATAGAGACGTTGATGATAATGATTAAGGAGGTCGATTATGTGTAATAATATTATTTTAACATTTATCCTTAGCCGTCTAATGTACCTTTGATATCGATTTTCTTCGTTTGCATGGTCCCACCCTTCACTATGCAATTGCAAGCGTTAGTATAAAATATTGTTTATTTAGAATTTTGTTTAATTCATTAATAGTATACATATTTTATAAATGTACTCATTTAAATTTAATTTTTTAAAATAAATAATATTTTTCATCAAAAAGACGATTCAATAAGTGTTTTTATTTCAATCATACGATAAAATTTATTTTGTATTTATGTTTTTAATTTCAATAAATTTAAGTACTAAATACTTTTTTTAAACAGTTTTACGTAATTATAAAGTAATATTTATTCATAAATTCTTTTAATCTATTACTAACATATATATTATGAAAATAACTATCCAAAACCAGAATTTCAAAAAGAAAATAACAAGTCTCTTTTATTTAATAAATTTTATGTAAATTATATTATTATTTAAATTCAAATTAGAGAAAATATTATCACTAAAATCATTTAAGACATACGTCCGTTTATTATTAGAAATATGTCTCACAAAGTTCTACATCGGTCATTCTTTTGTTTACTCAATGAGTATAACAATTATAATCTATTTCATTTTGTATAATTTTATTCAGTTAATGACATTTGCCTTGATCATTTACAAGCAAAACAGAATATAGATTCTAGGTGCAGTGCTTTTTAGCAAAACAACACCAACATTGCAAAAAGTGAAGAAAGAAAAATACACTTTAATTCACTTACTTTGGCTCCTTTCACCAAAAGAATTATTGTAATAGGAATGGGTAGTTTACCTTAATTTTTTTTAAATGGTATGGATCTTAATTTATATAAATATATTTATTCTAATATTATATACAATGAGTAACAGATATACGACCTTTTGAGAATAGGTACATATTTATTTTTAAATTTAATTTTTTTCCGGTTGTTTATCTATTTTACTGACGGTATCCACTTCATTTAAAAACTTTGTATTGTTAATAATCTCAAAATTACTTTTAGTTCCGCTTAACATATATATATTAACATTTAGAGGTTGATGATTCAGTTTTTAAAGCTCAAGGTTTAGGGTTGTTAGAGATTTAAAACTTAAATAGATAAAAATTAAAAAATTAAAATTTACATAATAAGATAACATTATCCTATTTTAAATTATAAAAACAAGTAGGTCAGATTCCTTAATTATTAAATGAGGCAAAACGGGTGTCGTATGGTGGGCTGGTGACGGCTTTGCCAGATAAACTTATGACTCCGAATATGTACCTAAAGGCTAAAACCCTGTTTATTTTTGCAAATATATGTGTGGTGGTGGGTGCTTTGTGCTTATTCTTTAATCATTCATGCTTCTGATTTAGAAATACCACCACCGATATGCATGTATATATAACATTCTACATTATTTACCAAAATTAGTGAAGAAAAATACATTAGAAAACTATATGGTATATGCCAATTGAATGATGCATTTTACATTAATTGGTAATATTAATTTAAATTATGAAAATAATGGGGAGTAATATTAATTTAAAATTTGTTTATTTGATTATCTTATTGTTTTATCTTTGATTTGGATGTTTGGATTAATTCTCTCGTTATTGATAAGTACTCGTAATTACCAAAGATGTATTTTAGTTAAGCTGAAATAAAATTAGTTTATTAGTGTCACATTATTGTTATATGTATTTTTATGTTAGTGTTGATAGTATTTATCTTAACCAACAATACTTATGTTTATTTATATCTATCATTTTTTTGAATTATTTGATTAAATTTTTATTTTATGCTTGTATAATCCTATCTTATTTTTTAGTGATTAATTAATATACTTTGATGATTATTTAAAAAAATCTTAATTGACATGATTAGTCTATTCTAATTTGTATGCACTCATCCTATAATTTTGATATATTTTTTTATTTATTTAAAAAAATTAATTATTATTATTAATTAAAAATTAGTAAGCTAACAAGTCGATAGTTTCTCTTGTTAATAAGATTAATAAATGTCAAAAAGATAATATTATAAAATCTATCAAATAAACAACATAACGAGACCAACCAATTAGACTAACAATAATACTGACATTATTGTATAAATGGACCGACACGCCACCTCAATTTACATAAAAATAGATACTATCAAACGTTGCAATCGAAACTTTCATCATCGTTGTACATGTATATAAAATAATTTATAATAATTAAAACTTAATCAAACTGCATTTGGTCTATCTCGTGGTTGAACTTTAATGTTGTCTTCTCGATTTTGAATTATGGCTGGAAAGACGCCACGTGTCTCAATCTCAAATCCATTACGAAATCAAATTCGACTTAATTCTCTTGATTATGGGTTAATAGTGACACATCGGGTGGGCGGTGGGTAAGAAATTTCAGGTAATGTTTTCAAACTGGAATTATATTTATAAATAATGTTGATAGAAAATTTATGGTTGTGACGTTGTTAATGATTTTTTTATTCTAATGAAAAACTATAATTGATATAATGGCTTACACACTAATTTGTAGTGTTGATGGCACGTTTAAGAGTGATGATGATCATTTATAAATTGAAAAACTAAGTAGATTTACTTGTCATATGATAGATTTAGTTATGACAAAACACATGGATCGTCCATTAGCAATGTCAAGAGATTGCAATCATCCAAAAGATACTAGACTCTAAAAGTTTGTTATAATTTCGAAGATCTCAACAAGCGAATAATCAACAATAAAAATGTTATTTACGTAAGAGATCCAAAAAAAGGTATATACAAGTAAAATATATTTAGAAAAGTTTATTCTAACCTAATTGGGTAAGGGTTTTATTTTGTTTAAGGAGAAAATGAATTTGAGTAATTGGTTTGATCAATTGGTCTAAAGTTATAATATAACCTTTTAACATTTTCTTCAACTATTATATTTTTAATATTCTAACCTTTTAACTCGACTCTCTTCTAATTTGATCAATGTGTGCAATCTATTCGCCTGAATCAACACCTTAATTCTTGTCATTAATGTGGCTCGTGTATTCACACATAATTGCTACACCTCACCTCTTGTCATTAATGCAGCTCGTGTTTCCCACCTTAACCTTAGGAAAAGGAGGGGGATGCTTCCGTAATTTACTAATTTGAAAGACTACATTGGGTTGAGCTCAACAATTGATGGGGTTTTGGTGTTTGGACTCTTCTATAATTATCAATATTTGATTTTTTTATCAATTAATTTAAATTAAATATTCATAACTTTATTATAAGAACCATTCCATAAATTTAAACATTTTATCTCATTAAATCAATTAATAATCGATCGATTAGGTATTTCAATAAAAATTAATCACGACTACTCTACAACTACAATTAATAATTTATCACGGTTCTCTAATCATGTATTTTATTATCTATCTTATTTTTTAATAATTTAGAGTGATTATAAGATAATATTTGTTCAGAATTTTTCTTAGTTATTGACAACACGCACACACTCACATATATAACTGTTTGAACTCAAAATCTCTAAGTAAAACAATAAATAGAATACATGCATATGTATCGAAGATATTTCTTAAATTCGATAAAAAAATCTAGTATATAGAATAAATAATTTTAATCTACTTGAAAAAATTATATAAATAGATTACAAAAATACACATTCATATATATATCGAAGATATATATTAACATAAACACGAATATAAATCAAACCAAATTATATTGTACTGACGATGACAACAATGCATATATGTGTGAGCATTATCCTTTATTACTTAATACGAGTAAAAAGAAGAGCTTGTTTAAAAATCCTTCATCAAGATAATATATGGGTTACAACCAACATCTTTGCGTTATAATATTTTTACCAATAATCCCCACTAATACAAAGAAGTGTGGACTTAAAATGAAGGAAACAATAGAAAAAAAATAACGAAATTAATCACTGAAGTGTTAGTCTATTAGATTTGAATTAGTAAATAGTGAGACGATAAAATTTTTTTAAGAAATAAATGGATTTTGAACTTGTTATAAGATAGAAGTAAAATCTTACACGACTAATCTTAGATTTATTTGAGTTTCATGATAGTTCAACAATTAGTTAAATATGTCATGGGATTCTCATAAATGCTCCAGAAAGACGACTAACTTTTTTTTATGTAAGGTGGTTAGTCCTTCGTTGTATATGGTTTCATTTAGTTTGTTTTAACATAAACCATAATTAGAGATATAAAGTCATTAAAAGTATTCACTAAGCTGATGATGCTTAAGATGGTTGGACAGGTTGATGGTGATAATGAGCTAGTAATCCAATCACAATTCATCCTTTTTAGTATGGGTAAAAAGTCGCGTTCTTAAAATAGAGAAAAGAACAATAGAGAATGATAAGGTGTAAAGAGATTATCCATTAGTCTATTCTTTCTCGGAGAGAGAAGGTCCAGTTATACACTCTTATAGACTTGGTCTATATGAAGGAATGAATTGAAAGAGAATTGGTGTCTGGTACGTAGTAGGCAACGTTAACATAATAAGTATATCACATTAATATGTTAGTCGTTGATGGACAGTAATTAAGAACGAGGCATAGAATCGGAGATGTGCCTTGAATTGTATTGAAGTTGCTTAATGGGGGACCATATTTTTAGTAAAGAAGACTCCTTGTTTTGAAATAATACCCGAAATGAAAGGTGTAATAAACTTGTTCAAATTTATTAATTGGGTTTTTTCTTAGTAGGCCATTTTAAGTTGAGATCATTTCAATTCTACTCTCATTTTTAGATTCAAAGTCATTTCGATCTGATACTAGTCAAAATTAAAAGGTACAACGATAACGCATGCGGAGAAGCATAGACGGGGGCTAAGTGGCTAGGGCTCTCCTAAATATTTAAAGGGTTCTTTATTTTCGAAAAAACTTTTGTAAACTTACACTTGGCCTCCTAATATTTTTAAAACTTTTGGATTAATCTTTTATCAATATAAAATTATTCTACGCCTCCAAATTTCATAACATTTCAATTAGTCCTTGAAATTTACATTTTTTAATAGTTTAAGTGATTACAAAATAATATATGTTTATAATTTTTTTAATCATTAACAACGTACATACACTCTATATACATAATTATTGGACCCAAGATTTCAAAAGAAAATAACAAACAATTAAAATCACTAAATGAATTCAAATTTACAGTTTTTTAACCGTATCATAAATTGTAGTTTGATATGATAACGTGTAACACTTTTCATGCAGTGAAAGAATAGTTTGGAAGTTGCGTTCAGGGATGGATCGAATCAATAGTGAGTGGAAAAGTTGTTCTTAAATTTTTAAAAAAATTTTATTTTTTTTATTTTTTATTGATAATAAAAATTTACTTTTAAAATTTTATAAATTTATATTTTTTCTAAATGTTTAAAAATTTATTTTTGTAACATAAAATTCCATGTTTGTATCTAACTACAGTTGAAAGCTTCGAAAAACAGAGATTGGTGCTTTGGGGGGCTCCTTGAACTTGAAGGCAGCTTAATTAGACGTGGTGTGGGCCATGCATGCAAATGACAGCTATCGCCTCAACCTTTTTTCTCTGATGGGAAAAACGGGTTTTTTTCCCAAAACAAAATTCGTGTTGATCGACATGTATAAGAAAGCA